TCATTTTGGAGGGGAAATTTGTCAGTCTCTAACAAAACTACATTTATTAACATTTTGACACATCAATCCTACTTCTAGGAATTAATCCTAAAGTCATGCCTCCAGTTCCACTCTTAGGTATATGCATTTGAAATCCATTTAAGTGGGTTTTTAATATGTTTCTGGGTATGCCTCTAACTTCCATGAGATAGTAGCCTCCATTTCTTTCTCTGTGAAGTGGGGAAAATGGAATATATATAATAGCTTCCTCCATTTCTTTCTCTGTGAAGTGGGGAAAATGGAATATATATAATAGCTTCCGCTTATTGAGAATCAAATATATTCCAGACACTATCGTTATTATTCTATGTATATAATTTCCAACCTTTCCCTGCAAGGTATTTACCCACCTCTTATTAGGTGAGTACTTTGAAGACCTGAGAGGTTTAGTGATAATGCAGTCTTCTAGCTAGTAAGTACCCACGTCTACCTGACTGTAAATTCTTCAGTCTTCCTAACACATTAACTTGCTTCCAGAAGATGCAAAGATCTAATGCCTTTTACAACTCTATATTCTGTGATTCTTTACTCTTTTTAAAAAATTAAATGTATTGGGATAACATGAGTTAATAACATATATATTTTAGGTGCACAATTTTATAATCCATCATCTGTATATTTTGTTGTGTGCTTACCCCCCAAAGTCTCCTTCTGTTATCATATATTTGACCCCCCCCCCCCTTTTTTTTTTTTACTTTTAAGCAAGAAGAGAGCCCTCTCTCCGTACCTAGTGCAGCCATGGCTCGTGGTCCCAAGAAGCATCTGAAGCGTGTAGCAGCTCCAAAGCACTGGATGCTGGATAAACTGACCGGTGTGTTTGCTCCCCGTCCATCTACCGGTCCCCACAAGCTGAGAGAGTGTCTCCCTCTCATCATTTTCCTGAGAAACAGACTTAAGTATGCCCTTACAGGAGATGAAGTAAAGAAGATCTGCATGCAGCGGTTCATTAAGATCGATGGCAAGGTCCGAACCGACGTGACCTACCCTGCTGGTTTTATGGATGTCATCAGCATTGATAAGACGGGAGAGAATTTCCGTCTGGTCTATGACACCAAGGGCCGCTTTGCCGTTCATCGTATCACACCTGAGGAGGCCAAGTACAAGCTGTGCAAAGTGAGGAAGATCTTTGTGGGCACCAAGGGAATCCCTCACCTGGTGACTCACGATGCTCGTACCATTCGCTACCCTGATCCCCTCATCAAGGTGAACGACACCATTCAGATTGATCTGGAATCTGGCAAAATCACCGATTTCATCAAGTTTGACACCGGTAACCTATGTATGATCACCGGAGGTGCCAACCTGGGAAGAATTGGTGTGATCACCAACAGAGAGAAGCACCCTGGTTCTTTTGACGTAGTTCACGTCAAAGATACCACTGGCAATAGCTTTGCCACCCGGCTCTCCAACATTTTTGTCATCGGCAAAGGCAACAAACCGTGGATTTCCCTTCCCCGTGGAAAGGGTATTCGCCTCACCATTGCTGAAGAGAGAGATAAGAGGTTGGCGGCCAAACAGTTGGTGAAATGAGCTGACGTGACATTAGAAGAATCTTTCACTTAAAGATAATGCAGCATGGGGGAGGGGGTGGGGGGATAGGGGAAATGAACATGCCCACTAATAATTCATAACTTAAATTTCATTCTCTTTTCCTGTGGGACTTAACAGCTAAATAGTATGACAGTCCTTTACCCAAAGTCATTCTCACTTCAACCTCTTCCTTTTTTAATATACCTGAGTTCGTTCGTTGTACTTTTCAGTTTATAACCAGCTATCTGCTCCTGAAAAGCTCTCACAAAATTTGTTTATTCCCTTTTAGTCACATTTCTTACTTCCTATCTCATAGTTGTATAGGCAATTACTCTGATGTACGGTATTTTCAACATATATTTGAGTTTGTAGGTTTCTAGCAAAATTAGGAGTTTTGTTTTGACTATGTAATTATAATTGAAATGCAAATACAGATTTTAGTTAATAACAATTTATTAATATTGGTTTGTTAAATGTAACAAATACACCATACCACTGTAGGATGGTAGTAATTGGTGAAACTGATGCCAGGTACATGACAGCTCTGTACTATCTTAAGTTCTCTGTAAATGTAAAATTACTTTAAAAAATAAAGTCTATTAAAAAATTCATGTGTGCAAGGATGATCATTGATTTTAAAAAATGCTATTTAAACTGATAAATTAGTGTATTTTACCACTTTTTATATTTAAAATGAAGGGTGAAGTGTGGCAAATACCTCGATATATACTAGTTTTATTTTTTAAAAATCCAATAACATATTAAAAGACTAAAATATTCTATATAAATTAGATCATCATAGTTTATATGTTTTCAACTACTAAGGGGCAAAGGAATATTCTTTGCCTTGTTTAAATAAAATATAACTGAATTGGGAAGCCCATTTTTCCCCACTTGAGACTCAAAATTATTTTGTTCCTGGTAGTTTCCCCAAGCTGCCTGTGAAGCTGAAATATCTAAATTTTCATCTTTGTTCTTAGCATTTGTAAGGTATAAATAATTGATGAATGCAGGAATTTGGGGGATAGCTGAATAGCTTAGGCTCAGTACTAAACTTTTTACTATAAATGTCCGTAGGCGCCAACCCAAAATGTACATGTAAAACATGTCAGTTGGCATTGGGAAGGGGGGCAACATGGATTAGAGTTGTGGAACAAGAAATCAGCAGTCCCCACAGCCTCTGGCCACTGCCGCTCTTTGTGGTTTTATGAGTCGACTATTTTAGGTACCCCGTGTAAGTGGAAACATGCAATATTTGTCCTTATTCAGAATTTCCCTTTTTTAATATATTTGGTTGATTTTTTTTACAGAGAGGAATAGAGAGAAACATTGATGAGGGAGAATCATCGATCAGCTGCCTCTTACACATCCCCTACTGGGGGTGTGCCCGCAACCAAGGTACCGTGTTTCCCCGAAAATAAGACATCCTCTGAAAATAAGACCTACTTACAGGTTTCCTTCTGAGTGAAATATAAGGCATCCCCCCCCAAAATAAGACCCCCCCCCCCCCCAGGCTAAACATTAGAGATTTGGTCCACTGATTCTGAAAGAAATGGTCACAGGAAATTCAGGAATTGGGTTGTTATGATGATGTTCCAGAAGATGATGACATGATTGTCATTGAATAAATGAGTAAATTCTTGATACTGTAGGATTCACAGTTTGTCTGGTTTGTGTTGACAACTACCGTACTACCGTATTACAGGTAATAAATTTCCTTTATTTTCATTTAACAATAAATGTGTACCGTATTCTTCATGGAAAAATAAGACCCCCTGAAAATAAGACATAGCGCATCTTTGGGTGCAAAAATTAATATAAGACACTGTCTTATTTTCAGGGAAACGGTACATGCCCTTGATCGGAATCGAACCCAGGAGCTTTCAGTCCGCAGACCGACGCTCTACCACTGAGCCAAACTGGTTTCGGCCAGAATTTCCCTTTTTTTAAAGGCTGAATGGTATTTCACTGCATGTATATAGCACATTTTCTTTCTCCACTTTTTCATTGGTGTACATTGATGTTATTCCCACTTTTGGGGTGTTGTAAATAATGCTACAATGAACTCTGGAGTCCTCATACCTGTTTGAGATCCTGATTTTAAATACTTTTGATAAATACTCAGAAGTAGGATTGCTGGATCAGATGGCTCTATTTTTAATTTTTGGAGGAATTTCCATATTGTTTTCCATAATAGATAAACCATTTTACATTTCTAAGAAAACTACAAGAACTGCCACATCCTCATTTAAACCTGCCTTTTTTTTTTTTTTTTTTTTTTTAATGGTAGCCATTCTAACCAGTGTGAGGTGGTGTGGTTTTGATGTTCCTTTCCTTGATGATTCATGAAGTGGAGCACCTTTTCATGTACCTGTTGGTCATTTGTAGGTCCTCTTTGGAGATGTCCAAGTCTTTAGCCAATTTGTTAAAGCTTTATCACATTGGTCTTGACAATGATTCTTGGATATGACACCAAAAGCACAGACAACAAAAGAAAAAATAGATAAGTGGGACTACATTAAACAAAGACTTCTGCACAGCACACAATAAAATGAAATGTCAGCTTATAGAATGGGAATGTTTGCGAGCCATATATGAGATAAGGGATAAATATATAAAATACATGACTTAAAAGCAAAAATAATTTATAAAACTTTTTCAACTCCGTGCCAAAGGTTCCAGGTCCCAACTCGGTATAACAAATAATGAATACCTTAAGTGGGATGAGCCTCTATTCCTATTTGCTCATGAAGTAACAGCCTGTTTCATTCCAACTCCCCAAGGCATTTCTGGGGTCCACCAGGGCTGTATCATATCAAATGTTTGCATCTTCTCTCCCAGTACACCAGTAATTCTTACGTCTGCAGGGGGTGAGAGAGGATCATGTAATTTGGGAGAAACTTTTCAAACCACATACACTTTCACATTGTGTTGTGTGCCCTCTGCTCCCACCTTTGGGAAGCACCCTAAGGAAACCGCTGTTAATGATGGAAGTATGTCTTTTTAACTCAAATGTAGTAGAGCTTTTGAATAAAAGGTTGAGTGCCATTTTGAGCTTCTTGAAGTAAACACTTGATTTTCTTTTCTTTTTTTTAAAATATATTTTATTGATTTTGTACAGAGGAAGGGAGAGAGATAGAGAGTTAGAAACATCAATGAGAGAGTCATTGATCAGCTGCCTCTTGCACACCCCCTACTGGGGATATGCCCGCAACCAACATACATGCCCTTGACCGGAATCGAACCGGGACCCTTCAGTCCCCAAGCCGATGCTCTATCCATTGAGCCAAACCGGTTTCAGCAACACTTGATTTTCATTATTCTATGCCGTGCCTGGCACATAACAGGTGCACAATACCTACTGGTTAAATGGATTATAAAGAGTTTTGTGTGTTTTGTGTGTTTTTTTCAATAAAATTTTATTTTATTGAATACTTACCTGGCAGTGGAGATACCATGATCATGAAGGTGGTTTTCCCAGGGCGAGGCTTATCCATTGCACTCCGAATGTGCTGACCCCTGCGATTTCCCCAAATGTGGGGAACTTGACTGCATAATTTGTGGTTTTTTAAAGAGAGGAACATCGATTCATTGCCTCTTCCAGGCACCCCAACCAGGATCAAACCTACAACCTGGGTATGTGCCCTTCCAGGGAATTGAACCTATCACCTTTCAGTGCATGAAACAAACGATGCTCCAACCAACTGAGCCACACCAGCCAGGGCTTATTTTATTGATTTTTAGAGAGAGAGAAAAAAGGAGAGAGAGAGAGAGACATCAATTTATTGTTCCACTTATTTGTGTATTCGTTGATTAATTCTTGTATGTGCCCTAATTGAACCTACAATCTTGGTTTATCAGGATGATGTTCTAATCAACTAAGCTAACTGACCATGGCAGTAAAGGTTGATTTTTATCATGTAGTTTCTGGTTCATTCTTTTGGACACTTCAATATATCTTCTGGATTCCATTATCTTTTTTTTTCTTCTTTTAAAAAAATTTTTATTTTGCCCTAACCGGTTTGGCTCAGTGGATAGAGCATCGGCCTGAGGACTGAAGGGTTCCTTCCAGGTTTTATTTTGGTCAAAGGCATGTACCTTGGTTGTAGGCACATCCCCAGTGGGGGATGTGCAGGAGGCAGATGATCAATGTTTCTAACTCTATCCCTCTCTTACCGATGTTTCTCACTCCATCCCTCTCCTTTCCTCTGTAAAAAATCAATAAAATACATATATTAAAAATATTTATTTATTTTACAAGATACAAAATGAATCTATTACCAGATTGTATGTACAATATAATTAGCCATTTACATGCAATAAACAATCTTTCAAGAAAAATTATTTTAAATATAATATTACAGGTAGATACAAAATAATCAGTTATTTACATTCATTAAACACTGATATTTCAGCCAAAACCGGTTTGGCTCAATGGATAGAGCGTCGGCTTGGGGACTGAAAGGTCCCAGGTTTGATCCTGGTCAAGGGCATGTACCTTGGTTGCGGGCATATCCCCAGTAGGGGGTGTGCAAGAGACAGCTGATCGATGACTCTCTCATCGACCTTTCTAGCTCTGTATCTCTCTCCCTTCCTCTCTGTACAAAATCAGTAAAATATATATATTTTTAAAAACTGATATTTCAGGGAAAAGATTTTAAATATAATAACTGTAGTAACAGTATAATGTTACAAAAGTTGTAGGAAATATTAAGAATCTGCAAATAACATGGATTTCATTATCTTGATTGAGAATTAAAAAAAAAAAAAAATATATATATATATATATATATATATATATATATATTTCTTTATTGATTTCAGAGAGAAAGGGAGAAGGAGAGAGAGATAGAAACAACAATGATGAGAAAGAATCATTGACCGGCTGCCTACTGCATACCCCCCACTGGCCCGCAACCCAGGCATGTGCCCTTGACCAGAATCAAACCCGGGACCCCTCAGTCCGCAGGTCGATGCTTTATCTACTGAGCCAACCCAGCCAGGGCTTGATTGAGAATTCTGCTGTCTGTCTTATTGTTTGTTGCTTTTGCTTTTGCTTTTTCTTTCTTTTTTTTTTTTAAAATAAATCTTTATTGTTCATATTATTACCAATATTCCTCATTTTCCCCCCCTCCATTGCTCCCCTCCACCAGGTTCTCACCCTACCCTCTGCCCTTTCCCCACCCCCCATTGTCCTCATCCATAGGTGCACAGTTTATGTTTAGTCTTTTCCCACATCCCCCTCTCCCCTTTTCCCCGAGAATCGTCAGTTCACTCCCCTTCCATACCTCTGATTCTATTATATTCACCAGTTAATATTGTTCATCAGATTTTTTAATTCCCTTGGTTTTTAGATTCACTTGTTGATAGTTACATATTTGTTGTTTCGTAATTTTTATCTTTGTTTTCTTTCTCTTCCTAAAGAACCCCCTTCAGCAATTCATATAATTCTGGTTTGGTGGTGATGAACTCCTTTAGCTTTTTTTTTTATTAGTGAAGCTCTTTATCTGGCCTTTGATTCTGAGTGATAGCTTTGCTGGGTAGAGTATTTTTGGCTGTAGGTTCTTGCTATTCATCACCTTGAATATTTCTTGCCATTCCCATCTGGCCTGCATGGTTTCTATTGAGAAATCAGCTGACAATCGTATGGGTGCTCCTTTATAGGTAACTACCTGCTTTGCTCTTGCTGCTTTTAATATTCTCTCTTTGTCTTTTGCTCTTGGAATCTTAATTATGATGTGACTTGGTGTGGTCCTCCTTGGATTCCTTTTGTTTGGGGTTCTGTGTGCTTCCTGGACTTGTAAGTCTAATTCTTTCACCAGGTGGGGGAAGTTTTCTGTAACTATTTCTTTCAGTATGTTTTCGGTATGTTGCTCTCTCTCATCTTCTGGGACCCCCATAATTCTGATGTTGGTTCGCTTGAAGTTGACCTAGAGGTTTCTTACATTATCTTCAACTTTCTGGATTCTCTTGTCTTCTTGCTTCTGCGGAGGAGTGTCTTCTGGCTCTTTATGTTTCAAATCTTTGACTTGTTTCTTGCGATCTTCCATTCTGTTTTTAGGACTCTGTATAATATTTTTTTTAATCTCAGACAATGTATATTCTTTATTTCTAGTTGATCCTTTATTATTTCTAGTTGATCCCTTTTCATATCCTCATAGGTCTCATTTATTTTATTGGCCTTTTCTAGGAAATTCTTGATAAACCTTATAAGCGTGGTTTTGAACTCTATTATCCAGTTGCTTTTTGTCCTCCATTTCTTTTCTTTTCTTTTTTTAAAATATATTTTATTGATTTTTTACAGGGAAGAAGAGAGAGGGATAGAGAGTTAGAAACATTGATGAGAGAGAATCATCAATCACCTGCCTCTTGCACAACCCCTTCTGGGGGTGTGTCCACAACCAAGGTACATGCCCTTGACCAGAATCAAACCCAGGACCTTTCAATCCACAAGCCGACGCTCTATCCACTGAGCCAAACCGGTTTTGGCTGAGCCAGTCTATTTTGAAGAAGTGGTGTTAGAACACTCAAGGGATCAAAGAGCTGCATGTGGTTCTCGAGCCTCACTTTGCTGACCACTGATGTAAGATAAACTTTAACCTTGAGATAAACTTTAACCGTGCAGGTGAGGGACATTCAAGTAGTTGCTACTTGAAGAGACTACTCTATGCGAGCAGGAACAAGTGGCAGGCTCAGGACCAGAAGCTTTAATTTAAATTTTAAGTATACGCAAAATAATTCAATTAACTGCAGAGGAATTACTCCAAATGAAACATATGCAGTTGCAAATCACACAGCTTTTTATTACTCACACAAGTTTCTGAGCTGCAGGAACAAGCTTGGTTATGGATCCCTGTGTGCTGTTCTCTGGGTCCGGCAGCTGGGCTGGGCTGGTTCCGGTGCAGGGGTCAGCATTCCTCACCAGAGAGCTCCTGAGGCATCTTGATGGGGTTTGTTAGCCGTTTGTCTTCTGGCAGGGAGAGGAGCTTGGAGCAATGTCACTTGTCAGACCGACAAAGGGACGGGCCTTTGTAGCTGTCTTGACAGGCGAGAGTTAGCTGGCCGGGGTCCATGTTTAAAGCTTGTTCGTAACCATAGCAGTTCAGATGGCTATCAATAATTTAGGTCAATGGACATATGTTAATCTCACACGAAGCAGGGGTGGGGGGGTGAGGAGGGGAGGGGCGAGGGGCCTAGGAAGAGTACGCCACTCAGGCAAGTATTTATCTTGGCCAATCAACAGTGGAGACCACAACCCTGAAAAGACACACCTGGAAAACAGTAGGGGTGAGGGCATGTGCTGGGGTGGGAGTGGCAGGGGAGAGGTCAATGAGGGGGAAAGGAGACTAAACAATGAATTCAAATTTTAAAAAAGGTATTTCCCTGGGACCACCCCTAAAATCTCCATCCTTAAAACACTTAGGATGGCCCTAGCCAGTTTGGCTCAGTGAATAGAGCATCAGCCTGCGAACTGAAGGGTCCCAGGTTTGATTCCAGTCATATCTCGATTGCAGGCTCCTCCCCAGCCCAGGCCCTGGTCAGGTTGTTGTGTGTAGGAGGCAACCAGTTGATGTGTTTTTCTCACATTGATATTTCTCTCTGTCTTTCCCTGTCTCTTCCACTCTCTAAAAATCAATGGAAAGATATCCTGGGGTGAGGAATAAAAAAACAACAACAAACAGATAAAACCCTTAGGATGGGAGGACCTGGTGCACTCACTCTCCGAGGGCCTTTCCTTTACCTCCATAACTCATTTCCTAAGCCCATTTCTTATAGGAGTTACTTCTACCTCTGTGCTTTACCAAATAAATGTTTTCTTACAGTTTGGGTCTTGGCTCTGAATTCTTTCCTTGTCAGAGCTCAAGTACTGAGATTGCTGAACCTATTAGGGGCAAAAAGAGAATATTGGGGACTAGCTATGGTTATGGGGAATATTAATCATGTTGTTAACTGTGATTGCCTTGTTCTGGTTAAAGAAAGGACATTCTGCCCTAACCGGTTTGGCTCAGTGGATAGAGCGTCAGCCTATGGACTGAAGGGTCCCAGGTTCGATTCCGGTCAAGGGCATGTATCTTGGTTGCTGACACATCCCCAGTGGGAGGTATGCAGGAGGCAGCTGATCGATGTTTCTCCCTCATCGATGTTTCTAACTCTCTATCCCTCTCCCTTCCTCTCTGTAAAAAATCAATAAAATATATTTTTAAGAAAAGAAAGGACATTCTAATCTGGCTGGGGGTCAACCTTGGGCCAGGAGTCAACCTTGGAATGGGGTCCATTCTCATTCAAGAACTGCCTACTATCAAGGAAAGATTAGCAACCTTGTTGTCAAACAATGGAGTCCTACCTCAGCCTTCATGATCTACTTCCCCATGCCTATAATCCCTACTTTCCCACATAATCTTTGTCCTACCCTATACTAGCAGCTGGTCTATGAGGGCGTGCAGAGCAGATTTTTATGCAACTCTCTCATACTGCCAGCAGTTTTGAAATAAATGCTCATCTGTAATTCAGCCTGGTCTCTGCTGAATTGACTCAAGTAGTGACAGACAGTTTGGACCCATTGTTTCAAAAGGTTGCTGTGTCTATTCCCAGTCAGGACAC